ATCGAGCCGGCTCGGCACATGCCGCAGAACGATGGGGTCCACAGCTCCGGTCGAGTTTGTTTTGCGATGCTTCGTGCGTTTCGTGATTTTGACCAGGGACAGGCCGCCTCTCCTTCTTACAAAAACTATTCACGCCTCGCGTATCACCACCACCCTATCCAAGGCAGTTTGCTTTGATCAGGGAAGTAGGGGTGGTCATGCAGTGGAACAGAGAGCTGGGGAAGCCGGTCAAATCGACGTTCTGCACCAGCCTGAGCAGAACCAGGGGGAAGGGCGGAGGACAAGGATGAGGCGGGAGGAGGAATAGGAGAAGAAATATTAGGAGAAGGAATGATGAGGGAGGAGAAGGAGGAGGAGGCGGAGGAGAAGGAGGAGGAGGCAGGCGAGCACAAGTAATATTAGTTCGATGGAGCACGGTCTCACTGATTTCCTGGTGAACTGTAGGTAGGAGGAGGATGAGACGGATGATGAGGAGGTTGGGGGAGGATAAGGAGAAAGAGGGGGCGGCGCAGATTTCACGGGGGGTACTATAGTTTTGACCATAAGACGTCAAGCTTTGAACCCCCCCGACCCCCTCGTAATAATCTGAGCGGCAGCTTTTCGGTCAGGGAGCGGTCCGAATTCGATGGGCTCGTACCCCGTAACAATATCATAATATATATATAACGGTGTGATAAGTACTCCGTTCCATGAATAATAGGCCCGGCAATCACTCCAATTTGGGCTCACTCACAGCTCAATCACTCCGCATGGGTCACTTGAGATTGTCAGTGCCATCTTCGTCATCGTCGCTGTCATGCAGATGTCAACACGATGCTCTGTTGTATTCGTTTTCGCTTTGACGCGGCGTGGTCCTAGGTATCCTTATCCAACGGTGTCGCTCTTGATTCGCTGGCCAACCATCTCAGAGAGCTCACGAAGGCTCGCGACTCCGCATCAGGTCCCTTTTGCATCCTAATCGGGCGGCACGCGGGACCAGCTATGTAATTCTCCGCCGATGGTCAAACACTTTTGCACCTGGCAAGTAGGGTTGCCTCTCGTGGGCTCGAAACGTCTCCTCTTGGAGCCCTCCTTGGGGCGCTCTTGGTGGTTCTTGGAGCCGTCGTGTAGCCATTTTGGGAGCACGTGGGCCTCCCTTGAGGCCTTTCTGAGGCCCTGTTGGGAGCCTCGGGGGCCATCTTGAAGGACATCGACCAAAGAAGGGCGGGTCCTACTTTAGCGTCGCCCCCGTAGAGCCCCCGAAATCGCCTCTTTGGGCGTTCTTGGGGTGTTCGTTGGCGCTCTTGGTCATTGGAAACACGACGGCGAGAAGGCAAACCATATTCCCGTGGAATTGGGGAGGACAGTGGCTTCCTGGGTGTTTTTTTGGGCGGTATTCCGAGGCAGTTCGAAGCCGTCTTCGGGACATCATTGGACCTCTTGGAAGCATCTTGGCGGCCATCGCGAGCAATTTTGGGCCATCTTGGGCCGAACGCCTCCCGAAGATGTCCTCGAATAGCCTGCATCATTCAAGTTCCATCTACTTTTTTACATTTATTGAGCAATGAGGGGGGGAGTTCAAATTAGCATCGCCCCTCTTGAGCCCCAGAAGTCGCCTCCTAGTGACTTTTTGTGGTGTTATCGGGGCGCTATCGGGTTGTCTTGGGGCCGTCTTGGGGCCATTCTGGGGTCCTCTTGGGGTTCTCTTGGGCCTTGTTGGGTCCACCTTGAGGCCTCGGAGGGCCATCGAAAGCGAAACTGCGAGGCAAACCGACCTTGACATACCGCTGGTATTGTAAGGATTTGGGTCTTTTGGCGGTTTCCTGAAGAGGCTCCGTGGCCATTTGGAGCCGTCTTGGGGCGGTCTCGGAGCCTCTTGGAGCATTTTGGAAGCCATTTTCGGCCACCCGTCGTAGGGCATCCTGAGCCATCTTGGAGTTCATCTTGGGCTCTCTGAGGCCCTCTTGGGGCCACCTTGGGTTATCTTGGACGCTCCAATGGGTCGTGGGGCGCCTCGTCCAGCCCCAGGGGTAGGGGGCAGGGGGAAGGGTCGAGACACATTTCCCAGACGCAAACTGTTTGGCTCACTCCCACCCGCCCTCCCAACATCTAAGTGGTATCTGAGTCTCAGCATATGCAGTGGTCGTCTTTGAATGGACAGCTACTTGGAACCAGACCGGATCCCAGGTGCGCGACGCTGTGGCGAGGTGTGCAACTCGTGCCAAGCGCGCCACGCGCACCAGGCGCGCCATGCGCCCCTGGGACACAAATGTGCCAGGCACGCCAGATGCGCCACGTGCGGCCAATGTGCCGCATGCTCCAACCGCGCCAGGTGCGCCACGTTCGGGGCACGCGCAGAGTGTGCCAGGTGCGCCCGCTCAAATCGGGAAACACGTCGGCCCTCACCATCCTTATCGAAAACAAATACCAATCCGCGGCGGAGTGGCCATGATGATGTGTAGTGGGTTTGTACACAGTAGGGAATCTGCCAGAACCCCCGCCGCCTCTGTCAAATCCCAATGCAAAGTGATCGCGGGGGCGCCTTTGCATGATCCATTTTATGCCGTGAAGTGCAGTTCATATTTGTGGTGACAGGGGTGATGGCCG